CTTAAATGGATAATTGTGCAAAAAAAGAAAGAAAAAACATTAGTACCAAACATGATTGTGCTACAAAGTCAAATTTTCCTACCAAATATGAGCATTTTATACAATTAATTAAAGAGTATTGGTTCAACACGATCTTTCGTTGCTTTCTTGTGTATATATGATTGTTAAGACCGTTACACCAATGAAATAACACTGTCCTCATGATAGAAGCCTAATGGTTGAAGAGTGTAAATTCTACATATAAACCCTAACACACCTTAAATAATATTACTAGTTTTCTGCTATTGACCTCCGCATAGGCCTTGGTGGGTTGATGTGGTATATTTAGATGGTGCGGCTTACCATTTTTGAAATGCCATTACTCATTAGTCTTTTAAGTGTGTCATATCAACTTTTCAATTGTTTATACATTAGAGTTATCACTATTTTTTGGATACTAACTTTTCAGAATGTCTTAAAGTTGCCAAATAACCGATTAGTTTGTCATTCTATTAGTTTGCATGTTTACATTTTTAAAGTATGTCAAATTTATATTATTATATTTTTATTAAGTCTGATTTATTGATATATTAGTTAAATATTATTAAAAGCTTTGTCGGGTGGGATCATTGCTATTATCCATTAGGTAAAAACTTTGTTCATTTGTTCTTGAGTTTAGAAGATGAAGAGGATGAAGGATCATGAGCTTGGAAGTAGATGGGTTCACATTTGCATTTATGAAGATATATTGGGAGTTAATACAAGAAGATTTTATGGAGTATTTTCTTGAGTTTTATGACTCAACCTTCATTCCTTGGGGTTGCAATATATCTTTCATTACATTGATTCCTAAAGTTTCCAGTCAAATGCTAGTGAAGGATTATAGACTGATCAGTTTCGTTGGTGTTCAGTACAAGGTTATTGCTAAGCTTTTAGAAAACGGATTAGATTTGGTTCTTAGTAGTGTGGTTAGTTTTGAAGAATCAGATTTGTGAATGAAACGAAAATTTTAGATGGTCCAATAATGGTAAATGAGATGGTGGATTGGTATAAAAAGAAAGAGAGTGTATGATTTTTAAGATTGATTTTGAAAAAACATATGACTCTTTCTCGCATGGGTACTTGGAGTCGATCATGGGGTTTTTAGGGTTTGGTTAAAAGTGGTTGAGTTGGATTCGACGTTGTATGTCTTCGAAAACTTCTTTTTTGTTGGTTAATGGGAATCCTACTTTACATGGAGCTGATGGAGGTCTTGGTAGGGATACGCCGAAGTATATTTAGAATATGGACATAATAGTAGCTAAAACAACCCGACTAGAACTAGAAATAATATAAATGTAAATGGGAAAATGCCTTAGAAGACCAATTAAGTTTCAAAAACGTTCATATTACCCCAATTACGTTTTTGTTGTTCAAAAAACACCAACGAAATTATGTTTTTTATTATAAAGCCAAATAAAGTTACGGATCAAATTAACGTTTTTTTAATGGTGACCGGCATGTTGCAGGTAAACGATGGGGGTAAATGAGTTGGCATATTTCTGTTGAGTTGGCATATGTGTTGGCATATCTACATGGCATTTGTGTTAGATAGATATAGGACATAATGGGGGATACGACTCCTTAATCAATCCACTTCTTCAATCGACTTCTTCAACATGGCTTCTTCGTCTCGATCCTCCAACTCATGCTCAAGATAAAAAATTTCCAAGTCAAAAAGCACAATTGATAAGGCACATCCTTGTGATTGTGGGTTTCCTTCTCGCATCTGGATATCAACAACAAAGGCAAATCCTGGTAAAAAATTTAGGGTTTGTCCTAACTCTTTGGTAAGTATATATCTAAAAGCTTGTTCTTGTTTGGGTCCCTTTTTGTTTTTCATGCTACAATATTGTTTGTTTATGTTATAATTGAAGATGAAGGATCCAAAGGATAAATGTGATTTCTGGGAATGGGTTGATGATGATGAAGAAATTATAACCAAGAACGAGAATAAGAAAGATGAAGAACATGATTTCAATACTAAAGTGAAGATTGCAATATTGGAACATGATTTCAGTGAGTACAAGATGAAGACTGATAAGGAATGTAAGAGTTTTAGAAAGGAATTGGATAAAATGAAATGTTTAGTGTTGATGTTTGTTGTTTTGTTTGTAGTGAAGTACATGATTTAGTGTTAAGTTTATTATGTAAGGAAAATGTACTTTGAAATTATCAGGATATGTATCTTCAAAGTAGTTTCATTGTACTCATGTAAAATGGTTACGAAGTGGGAATAAAAAGAAGGTATTTGTGAAGACTGATACACATAGAAGGTGTTTATGAAGGCTAATAGTCCATAAAAGTAACATACTTTTTATTGATTGAAAATAGCAAGGGTAAAATAGTCCATAATAAGATTACACTTTATCAAATGATAATAGGAAGGGCAAAATAGTCCATAAAAGGATTGCACTTTATCAAATGATAATGACAGGGACAAAATGGTCCATAAAACATGTGTTGTAAATGGTTTTTAAACACAAGGGCAGTTTTATTGACAAAATAGTCCCACAAAACAGTTTTTACCAATTTTAACATAGTTTTAACAAATAGGGGCAAAATGGTACATTGTTATAATATGCATAAAAGGTAATAAACTACATATCAAAGCATAATTAAACCACATAATCAAGCATGTGCACATAGCACTAAATGTTGGTAAATGTGCACAACACCAAAAGACAAGCCTAAGCATCAAAAAGACAAGCCTAAGCACCAAAAGATGTGCAATAAGCACCAAAAGATGTGCCATTTCAAAGTATCTGACATAATCCTAATAGAACACACTTATCCTAGTTTATAGTAACTGGATTTTCAGTACTTTCCCCACTTCCATCTTTTGTTACCACCTTCTTCCTTAACTTCAGTTTCGTGATCCTCTCAGAAGGTAATCGCCTTTTGTTCGCAACAAAATGCTGAAAAAAAACAGGTTGATGCTGATGGTGATGATTTTCTTGATGGTCAATCTCATCCTCTTGTTGTTCAATTTCATCCTCCTGGTGGTCTTCAATATCGCCTTCTTCAACAGCCTCTTCTTCACCAATTCCATCTTCACTAACCCCATCTTCATTGACCCCATCTTTATTGACCCCATCTTCACTAATCCCATCTTGACTAACCCCTTCTTCAACATCCCCTTCACTAACAGTTGCTTTATTTGCTGCATTGTTAAAACAAAAATAATTATTATTATACAAATGTAGATGAATGAATAATCAAAATAAAAACGAACCTTATTTGAGCAATGGACATCGCCTCTTGTTGTGTCCTTCTTGATGACAATTACTACATCTTGAGATGGACATCCCTGTCTTGTTAATTTTATGCTTTCCTTCATTTTCTGTAGGACATTTCATTCTGTTTACTTTGGGCCTTCCTGGCATTCTCCTACGCCGAGGTGGTAATATGGGATCAAATAGAACATCAAGCCACATGTTAGCTCCATTTATTGGTTTGACTGGATACCTATAGCAACTTCCAAACATGCTTGTTTTAAACCATACGGCTACATAGTCCTCTGCATTTCCATTCAGGTATAATATAGCAGCAATGGCATGCACACAAGGGATACCACTGAGTTGCCAGGCTCTGCAACCACAAGTTTTGCTTTCAAGGTGAACAACATAAACTTCATGGGCTAATTTCACTTCATATTCTTCCTCGCCACTTGGAATAACATCCCAGTACCTGAAATCATATTAAGAAGGTAAGTTATTTCATATTAAATCACTTACAATTAAATAATATACCTTTGTTCTTCTTTCATCTTCTCAATCCTCTTTCTAATAGAGGGGCAGATTTCCATGTCCCACTTATGCCCCTTAATCTTTTGATTGTACATCCTCTCCATCACGTACAATCTGATTTCTTCCAGCATTGTTATTATTGGTTTCTTCCGGGCCTCTACAATTGCTGCATTGAAAGATTCAGATATACCGTTTTCCACGGCATCACAACAAGTCTGAGGTTCAAAGAATGCTCTGCACCATGTATTTGGGTCTCTTTCTATCAGGTGCTCATAAGCTTCTGTGGACATTGTACGAATTTCCCTCATGTATGATCGGAAATTGGAATCGGTTGTAGCCTTTACAGCCCTCCAAAATAACCTCCTAAACTCAACACCCGTGAACCCCTTCTTCTTAAAGTTGGCATAGATGTGTCGGGCACAATTCCTATGCTCACATGATGGTGCCCTTTCCTTAACAGCCTCCATTAAAGCCTACAAGGTGATAACAAATTTCAGTTTTAAAGTACATAATAACACATAATATAGTAAGTAAAATGTAAACTATAACACACCTTGTGTTGGTCTGAAATAATTGTAAGACCCCTACCATCTCCCATCTCAATGTCCTCAAGTAGAAGATCAATGAACCACATCCAAGTTTCCTTGTTTTCAACTGGCACAACAGCCCATGCTAGAGGATACATTTGGTTGTTTGCGTCCCTACCAACGGCTGTTAACAACTCACCTCTGCAAATACCCTTCAAAAAACAGCCATCAACACCGATAACCCTTCTACATCCTTCAATCCAGCCATCCTTGATAGACTTCAGGCAAATATACATCCTTTTGAAGTAGTGTGTAGCATCAGGCGTATGATTTGTCTCGATCAAGACTGTTGACCCAGGATTAACCCTCAATAACTCAGCACCATAATTCCACAGTTTCTCATAATGGCTTACCAAATTGCCTGAAATCTCATCTAGTGCAAAGTACTTGGCATTTCTACACTGCCCAAGACTTACCTTGAGACCATAGTCTTTCCTAACCACTTCTGCCATTTTCCTATAGCTAAACTTAGGCCTTTCCAAAATGTCAGGTATTAACATTTTTCCAATCCACTTATACGTAACAAGACAACCCAATTTTTGTTGTCTAGCACAATTATGTTTATCAATTAGTGACTTGATCTGGAATGAATTTTCCTTGTTCATGGGACTAGCCCATAGTCTAAAAGGGCAAGATGGCTTCCCTTTTTCATTTTTACTGCACCTTACTAACAATGCTTTTGCCTCATTTTTTTCATACCACAATGAATAACCCTTAGACACAGCATAATTTGTTAACATATGTTTCAGTTCATCTCGATCAGAGAATTTCATACCTAACTCAGGCATCATAGTGTCCCATTTTTGGTTTGGATCGTGAATAGGATGTTTTTTTTACCTTACCACCAGCTTCTTCCTCTATGCCTCTTTGTGGAATAAGGTTCTTCTGTGACAAAAAAGGATCAACAACTTCAGGCCATTGAATGTCCTCATCATCAGCTTCATGGTCCACCGATAGATCATCCGATAATACCGAGTCCACATCATCTTCATATGTTTCAGTACCACTATCCCATTCTTCAGCTTTTTCTTCTTCAATCCAATCTAGTAAGGGTTCATGATGGTCATCAATGTAGATACTTATTTGATTATCATCATCATCAAACCCAGCATCAAGGAACCTAACATAATCATCTTCATCCCTGAGCTCCCTTAACCCATCTACGAGGGACCGATTTTTAAGACAGTAATACATATCCCGACATCTATTGTTGATCAATTTTTGGAGATAGGTCTTGAACTTCTTGAAATCCATGTTACGTACATCTAGCCCCATAACAGGTACTTTATCAGGATGAAAGTAAACCAAGGGATTAGGAGAAAAAACACCTTTATGGTAGACATCAATGTTGAGTGAGTCACGAGACACGCTTGCTGCACGAGACATGCTGAGAACCCTTGCTGCACAATCGACTAACTTTCCTTCACCTTCTGTAAAAATCAATTTCACTGTCACGAGTTCACCGTTCACCGTTATGTAAGAACCCTAGATATCGATTTCACCCTTCACTGAGAACCCTTGATGGTGAATCGATATCCTTGTGGCACTTATGTTTGATGTAATGTGTTTTAATAATCCATGTCAGATTATCACCGGTAAACAAAGAATCGTAACCCACAGATGCCGGTCACCATTAAAAAACCTTATTTTTATTGGTAACTTTATTTGGATTTATAATAAAAAACATTATTTCGTTGGTTTTTTGTGAACAACATAAACATAATCGGGGTAATATGAACGTTTTTGAAACTTAATTGGTCTTTTAAGGCATTTTCCCTATGTAAATTGGTCTAGTTATTGCAATGATTCTGAAAGGAATATAAGAATTTCTTGTACTTCTAGCTTCTCGCTAGTTCTTGAATGATATAGCTCTTTCTTTTTGTTCAAAAAAAATACCGTAATGATGTTGTGCTTGGAACAAAAAAGATTAAAAAAAATGAAAGTTAAGGTTATGTTGATTATTTATTTGAGTGGTTTGCGTATAAAAACAATAAGCTTACCATCAAATGAATTGACTGAAAATAAAAATCTAATGAATATCATTCCGATATAACTATATATTCTCTTTATCTGATGTATCGCTAGCTTTTTATTATAAATATTCCGGATGTTAAAAAAATTAATAATCTGACTTGCAAGCCTTTGAAGTTTTTAAAGAACTCATTCACGTGGCTTGAAAATTTTAAATGAATTTATCCACGAGGTTTGGAAACATAAAATACTTGGCATTGCAGATGTTTTGAAATTAAGCCTCCAATATGGATATTCTTTTGCTGTTTTCTGGCTTTTTGAAGTTGTAAAAAGGAAACTCTTTTGTACACGGCGATATTTGCATTTTATAGGTCTTAATTTATGAACAGTGTTTTGTATTAAAAATCCATTGTTTATGTACAATTACCGCAATTAAAAAGTGAAAGGAATAATGAAACTTGCATAGGCTTGAGTGTCATTATCATAATATCCCTATGCAAAAAAGCCTAAATTATGCCAAAAGGCAAAACCCATCTCATTATTCACTTTATCAAAGGCATGTCCAAATGGACCACTTTGCGAGAAATGGAATATATTGCATCTCATACACAAAGCAAAACAAGTGCATTCCACCGAAATAAATCTTTCCACACATTAGATGAACACCATGACCACCACCTTCACCACCACCATCTTGCCGGAGAAGATGGCTGGTGGTGATCCGGTTCCAATTGAGATAGGAGCACGTGGTACAGTAGGAAACCTTGTGATGAAGGAGATAGAGTATTTCAAAAGACTTGAAGCTGAAAGTCGTGGTGGTGATCATGGTAAGTGTTCGATAAGAACCACTTCAAACACCAACAAAAAACACGGTGGTGATGGTGGTGGTTCTAAATTTTGGCCTAGTTTTGGATTCTTGACATGGCGGAGGGCTAAGAGGAAGGGCGACGGTAGTGGTAGGTTTTTACCTAGAATGTGCACCATGGTAGATGTCGCCGACAGCCGCCACCACAACCACCATAGATTGAGTAAGATCCCTAGTTTCAGTTACCGAAATCTTAAAGATGATGTTAGCCAATTCGATGTTTAACCACCGTATTAAACGAAACATGGTACATCAGATATTGACAGTCAGTTTTCCGTACAATTATATCTATAAAATATTCACCATGTAAAGTAAATATATGGCATCTTGTTTTATATGTTTGATTTGCATAAAAGGAAACACGAAAGTAAATTCATTTTTTTTTTGAGCTAAATAATGTTATAGTGACATATATTTTATGAAAGTAAAAGGTGTACAATGATTTCAAACAACATTTTAATCGCCATTTGGTTTGTGATCATCTTGAACCATGGCTAGGTAGTCAAGAGCCACAACAACATCACTCATGTATGGCCTTGTGTTTGGTTCTTCTTGTAGACACATTGCTGCAATCGCTATGGCTTGATGCAAACACTTTATCGGGTAATCCCCGTTTAGCAATGGGTCAGCCACCATCGGGTGCTTACTCTGGTCCTTAAACAATGGTTGTGCCTACCAAGGAGATAACACGTACACACAAGTCATATTCTAGTCTTTGAAAGAAAAAGATTAACCCATACAATTAAATGAGGATAAATTTATATAAAGTTGGGCCTTAATGGGAAAAGTCTTATTTACCGGTCAAAAAGAACCATTCATACATAAGTTATGAGACTAAGTCATGGACTCATGTCTCTATTAAGTAAAACACCTTAGTGTGCAGTGTGCACCACATATATGTAACATTTACATGTATATGGGTTATTTTTTTCATGGGGTATCATGATTTTTCTTGAAAACTTACCCATGTAATTAGGTTTTTCTCTTCGGATGGTCTTCGGTGATCAATGACTTTTCTACCCGAGATTAACTCTAGAAACACAACCCCAAAGCTATAAACATCTGATTTAGTCGTTAATTCTCCTGTCATTGCATACTCAGGGGACGAATGCCCGTAAGTCCCCATCACTCTCGTGGAGATATGATCCTCTCCTTCTTTTGGGCCAAACTTAGCAAGCCCAAAGTCCGAGAGTTTAGGATTCATATCATCATCAAGTAATATATTCGAAGATTTTAGATCTCTATAAATGATCGGAGGGTCCGCATCATTGTGTAAGTACTCGAGCCCTTTTGCTACTCCTTTAGCCAACATCATCCTCGTATGCCAATCAAAGGGCGTTTTGTTGTCATCCAAATCTTTAGAAAAAAAAAAGAATAAAACTAAAGTTAAAAATTACAATAACATAAAGAGTAGACCTCGCCCTTTTCAGATCTAACCTCCTTGTAATATAAAATTACTTAAAACGATTACCGTTTTGTAAATTTATATGTATCCTATCTGATATTAGAATTACCGAAAATGTGTTCTTCAAGTGAACCGTTGGTCATGTATTCATAGACCAACAACCTTTGATGCCCATTTGCACAATATCCAATGAGATTGACTAGGTTCGGGTGGCGAACACGACTCAATGTTAGAACCTCCGCTAAAAATTCACTATTCCCTTGTACTCCAATCATGTCCAGTTGTTTCACAGCCACATCCTGCAGCACATGAATCGGGAATATTGTTAAACCACAAATCATATCGACACCATACGATGTATATAACAATTTTGGATTAATGAAGAGCTAATCAATTTTACAAAACCAAACGCTTTACAAAATTCGACCACTATAATCGATTATGATAAATCGGATCGGATTGTGAAGTTTTTTCTTCAAAGGGGTTCAAGAATGGGTTTTCTTTTTTATGATAACGAAAACATGCAAACTAATGGTTTAAACATGGCACAAAATACTTATGAAATAAACGAGGATGGTTAATGTTCACGCGTTGGCATTTGTTAGTAACAGATAACTCATAATTTGACTAAAAGAGAATGAAAAACAACAAAGAAAGATGTATATATATACTTGGTCTTTGCCTTCGAGATGACCCTTGTAGACCCTCCCAAATCCACCTTTGCCCACAAGTAGATCGGGATTGAAGTTTTCAGTTGCATGAGCGAGGTCCCGGAAATTATAGACCTCAGCCACGATCTCTGGATTCTCATGTTTAAGCACCTCCTCGGCTACCATCCTTTGCTTGCTACCGGCGTTTTCTATACAAAATATATAACAATATGCATTTGTTGCTTATATACATAACACCAAAAAAACTTACTAATTAAAATTATATATTGTAATGAAGAAAAAAAAATAATACTAACCGGTATTCATGTCATCTACCACCTCTTGCGTCATCTTGTCAATCGATTTTATTTCAATTTTATAATTTATATACACACGTATATACAGACACGATTGCAATTTACATCAGGTTCTTTATCTCCTTTTCACGCAATACAACGTTTAAGGGTCCGGGACTAGATATAACAAAGACGTATATCCGTTCTTCGAGAACCAAAATGCTGCATGCTTTTGAATCATACATGTATGAATATATACATCAAGATGAATCTGGATCGATGGAATTGGAATCTAAATTATGGATTTGAGTTTTCGGGAGGTGTTTGGTAATTGAGTTAGGAACTTTTTTTTCTTTCAAAAATGAGAGAGGAGAGAAAGTGAGGAAGAATTAGAGGGGGTAGAGACCGAGAGGAGAATTCGGAATGCAGATTGTTGCTTAACTAACTACATTAATTATCATATATATTAGTTTTGTTTTTCTTATATGCCATTTTTTTTTTAATAAAAGAATAGTTATAACTTCAAATAGTTACAAAAGAAAATGATAAGAAGTTTCACGCTATATATAGGGTTTGATTTGCTCTTTAAATTTTTTATGGGTTTATAAAAAAGAAAATGTATGCTAAAATTTATATTAGAAACAGATTTGTATTTTTTCTGGATATACATACTGATGACACATTGCTACTACTACTATTAGTAAAGCATTTCGAAATAACCCTATGCAACTGCGTTGCCCGGCTATCAGAAGTCGCGTTGACCAGCTCCCAATAGTTGCGCTACCTAGCTCTCAGTAGCCGCACTGCCTATCCTTTATAGTTACTCCAGTGTCACGACACTCAGAGCTTGCCGACGGGGCAAAGCTCGGTCTATAAGACATGAGCAGGGGACTTACAGACTTGTACAAACGAATGAGGCTCGAACACGCAAGCAACGACCCAATATCATATATCCATTCATTCTTACTCATCGCCGTTTCTAAAAAGGGGGAGTAGAAGGAGTGACAACACCATGCCGAGGTGTTATTTCTATTTTGAGTAAAGAGCTAAACTACATAACGAGTTGACGTTAAATACGATTGTGCATCCCGGGGAAGAAATTGGCGTTATGAACGAAGAAGAAGCTCCACGGACCAACACCAAACGTCAACCATGTTGCCTGACTATCAGCAGCTCTGGTTGCCAGCTCCAGGAAGTCTCGTTACTCAGCTCTCACCACTCATATTGACCGACCCATGATAGTCACGCCATTCAGCTCTCAGCAGCCGCGCTGCCTAGATCTCATCGGTCGCGCAACCTGGTCCTCAACAACCATGCAACCCAACTCAGCAGCCGCAAAGCCCAATCATCAGCATTTACATTATCTAACTCCCAACAGTCGCGCCAACCGCGCTACCCATTTTTGTTAGTACTTGGGTCGCCTAGCTTTTCCAGCAGTTGTATCATGTTACCAACAACTATGCATCCATTATTCCCATTCCTCACATCCTCTAAGAAAGAGGGGGGGGGGGGGGGGAGAAGGGTTGGTACAACATTATGCAGAAGTGATTCTTATTCTGAAAGGGCAAAGTTAAAGCTCATGAAGAACTGATACTATGCATAATAGTGTACTCCCGAGGTCACATTAACATTCCGGACTGAAAGAGCTGCCTCGTGGTTCAACCCTCGGTAGTCTCGTTGCTCAACTCTTAGTGGTCGTGCTGCTCATCTGTCGCTAGCAGCTCGAAGCTCAGTTCTCAGCAGCCCTGTTGACCAACTCTCGACGACAGTCTCACTAGACACCACTTGACAACAACTACATTATCCAACTCTAAGTAGCAGTGCCGCATAGCCCTCGGTAGACAACTAAGATAGTGAGGCACCAATCGTCACTATAACTAAAGATGCAACAAAGCATCAGGTCCATTACACTTCCACCCGAACTGGTCACCCGGTCTAGACACAAAAGATTGCATGTTGTTGCGCCTAATCGTGCGAGGTTCAACACTCTTGCCTTGAGTCACATAGCTTCTCAGCCCGACTCCATTATAGCGGCAAGCTCCGCTTGCGAGGTTCATCACCCTCGCCTTGAGTCGCCTAGCTTCTTGGCCTGACTCCATCCTAGTGGCTAGCTCTGCATGCAAGGTTCAACACCCTTGCCTTGAGTCGCCTAGCTTCTCAGCCCAACTCCATTATAGCGGCAAGCTACGCATGTGATGTTCAACAACCTTGCCTTGAGTCGCCTGGTTTTTCAGCTCGACTCCATTCTAGCGGCATGCTCTGCCAACGAGGCTCAAAGGCTCGCAACCTTTGCCTATATGAATCCACACAATGCTCTCCCACATGATGTATTTCTGATCATTGGCAGCTAAGCTCGATCCATTCCACGGGATGCTCTCTCGTGACATCTCCATGATCGCTAACTACTAAGCCCAAGCTATTCTTCTAAGTCGCACAACATAAGTCGTGCAACATAAGTCATGTATCGTCATGCACCATAAGTTGCACATCACTAGCTTATTTCATGCATAACACCATGATCTCAATGTTTCCTCTCTCACAGTCGTCATGTGTCACACCCCAAAACCAAGAACGACGGAAACGTTCTGGGGCGGAGGACGTCATGTACAGTATCACAACAATAAAAATTAGTAAATAAACAACAACATCATTCATTGCATTAATAATATAATTTTAACACAAGTGTGTTCTGTCAAATTATAATAGACACTAAAGCATAAATCAAAATGAGAGATGAGTCTTGAGCGAGCTCCATCATCTCTAAACCTTGCATCGGTACCTGTCTATAGATGACCTGAGGATACAAGTAATTTTGAAAGCGAGTATCAGCATTGAAGATGGTGAGATCATAAGTATTTTAGTGTCTTAATTTGTATGTAAGAATTTGTAAGTTTATAAACTGTAAGTATGGAAAATGTAAATGAACTGTAAGTATAGAAAATGTAAATGAACTGTAAGTATAAAAATGTTTGTAAAACAACTGTAAACGTTTAAAAAAAACTAGAAATCCCTATGATTCCTACTTTATATAAAGGTGTCTTCTACCAAGACTTAACTGTTCTAAATTTTCGTTTCTTGTAAAAGTGTGTAATTTTCCCCAGTGTAACTATCATTATCAAAATATAGTTTTTACATTAAATGTTTAAGTGAAATGATCACTAAATATATGAAAAGGGGAAATTAATGTAGTACTGTAGTGTTGTATTATAGGAACTACTGCTGTACTAACTACCTTAAACCGGATTTATATTAAGGCATCATGTGATTAATTGTACCATACTATTGACTGGTAACAACGACATACGAATGGTCGTAAAACGGAATGACGTTTGGCACCCGCAGACCCGCAGGTCCGGCTGTAGCTAGCAGCAAGGTGTAGGATAGTCAATTCAGTATAGATCTATACGCAAACTCACGCTCTCCCTCCAAGATAATTCTGGCTACAACTCGGGCCATGACATTTAAGGCATGCTCCGATACAGTGGATCACAATTGTTAACGTATTCATGTATATGTAATGTAATGTTACTTGTTCTAGTATCGTTGTATATGTTCTCTTCCTAGTATAGTTGTATATGTTCTTCTCTAGTATAGTTGTATATGTTCTTCTCTAGTATAGTTGTATATGTTCTTCTCTAGTATAGTTGTATATGTTCTTCTCTAGTATAGTTTTGACTCATGAATGAACTGACTCATAGTATGATATTGTGTTCTAGTAATTGTTCTAGTATCTTCCTAAACTACCCCTATGGTAGTTTACTAGTAATCTAACTGGTAGGAATGAACATGGATGTATACCGTTGCTACCTAAGGGTATTGAATGAACTGGAAGAACCTTTATGACTATATATGTACACATGATATATAACTAATATTTAAACGACCTTCAGATGGGTACCAGATATCCCACCAAACCACATCTCAAGCCCGAAAAGGAAATAGGGTGGATAGCCTTCCTAAGTCTTTTAAACATTACTCATATAAATATACATATATAGGCATGCAATTTATAACATAAAAGCATAAAGTAAGTTTTGTAAAACCTTTGAACATAATTATTATCTTAAGAAAAGATCGACTTGATGTCAATCTATAAAACGGTTTGAAGGCATGGGTTTGATAAAACAATTTAGTATAAGGAAACATTTGTTTGAATCACAATTGTAAATAAGTTTGAAATAAAACATACAGAGTAAAATGTACAGTGTAATAAGGAGTTTTAATCATATAAAATGTTTATGAAAATCATTTGAAGGAAATCTGTTTGGTAAAATGGCTAATGAGTAGCCAATCATTTGAATGCTGCTTACTAATCACATGTGATGGATATAGTAACTAGCATAATTCTACTTGTATCCCCCCCAAAAAACATTCAAAAACTGTTAAAACATTGATTAAGGGGTATGAACTCACCTGTAGTAAGTGACTGGAATTGAACGGACTGTTATCGTAAGGAAGGATCGGACAAGTGCTTGGTGTCAAGTGAAGACTTTAGACACACACAATGATCCTAATTACATATGAAGACATATGTATATAAATAATTAGTGATTAAAACACTAATTATACAAGTATAAACATTCTAACGTCGGGAAAACACTTTTGGTCAAGTGCTAGGAGGCTAATGGGTTGCAACCAAGGAGTGCAAAGCCTCTAATGGGAGTTTATGGTCAAATGACCATATGCTTTGGAGTTTACGGCCCAGGGGAGTAAACTCCTGGCCGTAAACTCTCAACAAGGTCTCTAAATAAAGCCTATCATTTATACAACTAGTTTGGTGAATTGTTTCAAGGCTAAATCAAGTGTTTGGGCTTCCTATTAACTCCTTTGAGGAGTTTACGGCCCTGGGACCATATCCCATGGAGATTAGGCCATAATCTCCCTTGGGGGAAGGTTTATGGTGTTTTCAAGTCTCTAACACTTCAAGGTTATGATCTATGTTGGGTTCTAGGCATAAGGAAGGAGTTAGGGTGTCATTTGACCCCTTTTCAGGGGTTTACGGCCCAAGAACTTGTCTTGGCTGTAAACTCCTTAATACTTGTGATTCCTTATGTTTTCTAGGCTTTAAACACATTAGGGTACATGTCTAAATTCAAGCCTAAGCCTTAGGTAGTGTTTGTGGCATCAAACCACCCCTAACTAGAGTTTTCGGCCCATGAACCAGTTGGCCATGTGTTTGCGGCCGTAAGCACCCCTAGGTGTTGGTATTTTGATTGTTTTAGGTATTAGACACATCAAGGTAATGTGCTATGCTAGCCTCTTGGCTAAATGAAGGCATTTAGGGCATTTTGGCACTTAATCATGGAGTTCACGGCCCAAGAACCTCCTTGGCCGTGAACTCTCTTTCCCCCCTTGAATCTTAATTGTTTTGGTGTCCTAAACATGCAATGGTGGGTTCTAGTTCGAGTTCCA